CACAAAATCCTCCACTGCCCGGGAGGTGATTCTTATATTGCAAATCTCCTCTGCGTCAAATGGGATTTGGTTAATCAAGGTTGTATCCCACTCTTTTGCGCCCGGGAGCATGAGTTGACTGACCCATCTTAGTCTTGATCTTCGAATGAAAGCGGCAGTCCGAAGGCCCTCCTTCCCGGGTATCCATGAGCGAGTTGATGTTGTTCACAAACTGGTTCGCAGGACAAGCAAACTGATAGGACGATTTTTCATGCCTTAGCGAACTAGCTCCAACTTTTTTTATTAATTACGGTACTTATTAAGAAAGTATAAAACCAGGCAACCACAGGCGAACCATTACAAGATAGTACGAAAATAACACCTAGACTAAATCAACCTTTTCCGCAATAACGCCTTAAGAAGGTATGAATGTCCTTGTGCCACCATCGCCACGTCCGAACGGAGACGGGCTGAACTAGCTGCAGCTGGCGAGTACAAACATAGTCTTATCTGACAGTCCGTGTACTGTACATTGTTCTATGGCTAACAAAAAATGCAGCCCCTTGTTACAAAAATAACCCGACACAAAGCACCTTCTCAGTCCCTTACAACGTTGAAGGAGAACTTGGAGAGCAGATTCGGAATTCCAGAAATGATTGGGCCATACACCTGTATAAATTACAACTTTTGATCACCTATAAAGACGAAAGAACATCTCCGTTTGGTTTGACGACTGACGAAGCATCCAACAAACCTGATAATTGTCGTGGATCTGGGACAGAGGCACGGCTAGGAGCTTCAGGTTCCTCGGCACGATGAACTGGCGAGCCATGGGCAGCCTAACCAAGAACAGCTTTACGCATTCCTTTACAGATACAAGATTCACTTGCCACGGTTAGATTTACAGTCATGGACGAGAACCAGAGGATTGATCATAGACAAGATACTCTGTCGGAACTGCTTGCCTTGGGTGCACGAGTGCTTGGAGGCGGATATGGAAACGGCCTGGCCTCGAATTCGGATCTCCACCACATGCCAATGCACTCCCCGATCTATAAGGAGCAAATGATGATGATAGTTATTTCTACGCACCATGCTCAGCCTCTACCGTCTAGTCCGTGCAAAGACTGCAAAGTCGTTGAAAACAAAAAGAACACTGCCCATTCGTCAAATAATTCGTAGCGGTTACCTGCCAGTGGTGGTCGCCGTTTGGATCCGCAGACGCTAGCTTGCTGGAAAGCTTGCGTTTAAGGCCTTGGACATCTGAAGCACGGTTAAATAACTTGTCGGGCCATCTTGATTCGGTGGGCAAGAATTGAGGCATGTTTGAGTGACCTCGATGTACGTACCTTGCTCGGCAGGCCTGAGGCGGCCGCCCGGGAGCAGGAAGGAGGAGTTCCTGACCTGCAGGAGCAGCACGTGCGGGTGACCCGACAGCTCGACCAGCAGGACGCCATGGACGCAGGTCCGGAGCCCGTGAGCCGCGAAGCTGCAGTAAAACAGAACGGAGCAAGGTAAGGCGAGACGCCACGGTGACGGTGCGTCGTGGCTAGTTACTACGTACTCACTTGGCCTTGAGGCGGAGGGCGCGGTCGGCGGCAGTCTCGCCGGCGCCTGTCCGGGCGTCCCTGGCGCCGAAGTAGTAGCGGCACAGCGGGTAAATCTCCAGCTCCGGCTGCTCCGGCGATCTCTCTGCTTCCACCGGCGCCATCTCCAGCCCCATGTCCACTCGCTCTCGCTCGCCAACGCAATGAAGCAAGCGCGGCCGCCTACACGCCGGTGCAGTGCCTGTATTTTGGGTTTGGTGCTCTCTTCTGGGTTCTGGCCGGTCGGGGGAAGAAGGAAGGCGAGGGGAAGTAGAGCAAGGTCGGGAGACTCGGGAACGTGGCGAGGGAGAATGGGTCCTGGCCACGTGGCGCGGCCACACTTTGTCGGCACGTCTCCGTCTCGGTTGCACCGTGACGGCTCAACCGAGCTTCTACGTGTGTAGGCGTGGCACTTCCTTAACGGTCGAGGTGGTCGGTCCAATTGGGAGATCCATGGTGTTTTTTTCTCTCCTGCGAATTGGTGTTTTTCTTTTGCCTGGCTAGGCAACAAAGCAAAGGTCCAATGCGTTCCACTCAAGAGAAAAAAAAAACAAGGTCAAATACGTTTGGTCGAATCCCTGTTCGAGGAAGGGAAACGTTTGCGTCCTCGCAAAAAAAGGAAAATATTTGTGTTCGGTGCGCCGGCCGAACTTCTCGCACGCCATGCTGGCCCAACGCGCAAGACGAACATACGCAATGGCCTTGAGGGTTCGGCTCCTTCCCTACGCGGCTTCATCCCATACATCAGGCGTATTTTCTTTGTTGTGATTGGGCCACCACGAGCTCCGTCGCCCGCGGCCAGGCCCTTCCTCGCCGGCGGCCGGGACTCTCATGGCGGTGACCACGCGCTGCACCATGACGGCCGGGATGTGCCTGACAATGGTGACCGAAGATGGCCACGGGGTGTGCAAACTTACTGGAAGAATGCTGAAACCAGCAAGGAGATGACATGGCTGCTTGGCGCCATGACTAGATCCATACGTGTATACAAGTGTTGCAATCGTCACCTAGAACAGCTTCAATAGCTATTGAAAAAAAGTTTCAACCATAGATACAGAAAAGCTTCAATGACACTGCACAACAAGGGGAAGCTCCAACCGTAGTTGGATTTTGCTACTACGGGCGATTTTTTTTGCCACATCCATCAAGGCGGAGCTGCGACCTTGTGACGACGGCAACGACGATTTGCTGCAATCATAGTAGGTTTTTGCTACATCCATCAAGGCGGAGCTGCAAACCTCGCGACGACGATTTTTGCTGCAACCGTAGTTGAATTATGCTACTACCGATGAAATTTTTTGCTACATCCATTCAAACGGTGTTGATTGACCGGCGGCCGTCGTCGACACAATTCCCTGGAACGAGCATCGACAGCGAGGGGCGGCGGCAGAGCTACAACCGGGAGCAACAACCATCGTCGTCAAGAGTTGCAACCACAGGTGGAGCTATTGCATGGGTCAAGGCGACGACGAGGACGACCGGAAGGGTGAGGACCGGCAACAAGGACGCCCGACGAGGAAGGCTGGTGTAACACCCCAAGTATCATGCTATAGTAATCCCCCCTAATAATGCCTTGTCATCATGCTTTCATAAGACAAAATGCCACTTGTCCAAAAATCAAGTCCAATTCAATTCAAATTGCACGCCAATTATTTGCATCTTCAAATGAGTCAGAAAAATAGTTCACACTATGGCAAATATTCTCTAAGTATTTGTCATGATGAAACCTACCTATGTTGGATTCCAAAAATGCTCCTGGAAATTATTTGAGTGGTCCAACAACAATTAAATTGGCCTTTTCAATTTCTAAAAGTTCTTAAACTTTTTCAAATGCTCAAAACAATTTTGTGCAACTTCACAATATTGCAAAGTATTTATTGTGGCATGTGGCACATTTTACAAAAGTCATATGGTGCTCGGAATAATTGCAAAACAGTAAGCTATCCTTTTAATAAAAAATATAAAAAAAGAAAAAAAAGAAAAGAAGAGGAACCCCTCCTCTCTGCCTGGGCCTTAGCCGCTTGGCAGGCCCAGTCGGCCAGCCGGCCAGCCCACCTACCTCAACCGACCGGCCCAACCCCCCCGGGTCGTCTCCCTCCTTCCCTGTTCGACCAACCGAGGGAAGGGGCTCCAGCTCATTGCCATCCGACCACCTCGCCGTCCCGTGCCGCTATAGGCCCTGGAGGGGATAAGGACGCCGACGTCGCACCCCCTCGATCCCCTCTCCCACATCCTCTTGCCTCCCCACTTGCCCGCTCTCTCCCTCCTCTGGCTCGCTCCATCTTCCCCACAACGGCCGAGCGCCATCGTTGCCGTCTCCGTGTCGATTCCGCGGCCACCGCCTCCCGTTCGCCTCGCCGACGTGCTCGAACGCCTCCCCGACGTCGACTCCGTCGACTATGCCAAACGGAACGAGCCGGGAAGCCGCTACGCCGCAATGCCTCGTCTTCTTCTTCCTTGGCTCCAACGCACTCCGCGACGGTTCCGGGGCCAGCGAGCCTTCCCCGAGCTGCCTTTTGCACACCTACAGGCTCCCGATGAGCCACGCGTCCCCTCCCCCTTTTTCTCCTCTGCTCTCGTTGCCAATCGCCACCCGAGTCGCCGCCGGACGTCGCCACTGTCGACGCGCCACCGACATCGCCCGCACAGCTGGCCCGTCCAGCTCCTCTGTGCCCTTAGCCTCCTGCCACGGTTGCCGCCTGTGAATTGCTGCTGCACCGCCTCATCCGTCCCGCCCTGCCGCCACTCGCTGCCCTGCTCCATGTCGCCGCTGCACGCCCAGCCGTGCGGCCTCATGCCCGTGGCCGCCCCCACTCGCTCACCGCTCCTGCCTCGCCTCGTGCTCGCCCGCGGCATGCTACCGCCGCCCATTGCTCTTGCTGCTGCCGCTGTCGTGTTCGCCCCCGCTGCAACCTGCAGGCCCGCGTGGCCCACGGCTGCCTGCTGCGGCACCACAACGCCCAGCACGCCCTCCGGCGCCATCCTTGCTCGTTGCTGACTTTCTGCAGCTCCGCTGCTGATGCCGTGCGCCGGCCTCGCCTTTCCCCCCGCAGCCTCACCCGCGCTCGCGCATCACCGCTCCCAGCGCCCGTCTCCCTGCCGTCGTCCGCTCGCCGCCCCCCGCACGCGCCCACAACCTTCCTAGCACGGCCCGCGCCCGCACCCGCCTTCCCTGGCTCGTAGCGGCCTTCATCTCCACGCGCTCGCCGACGGCCACCGCTCCTCACGCCGCCCTGGCCTCCCGTCCGCCCCTGCTCGCCGCCTGTGTCGTCTCCGGCCGCCCCCGGCCGGCCACCATCACGGGCCGATGCGGCTCGTCGCCCTCGACCGAACGCACCCCCTGAGGCGTCAAATGGACACCGGGGGACAAATCCCGATGGCTGCCCGAGCCCTCCGCCGCGAGCCAGGCTCGCTGGAGCCTTCTCTGGCGCCCTGCCGACGTGACCGACCAGGGCCACCCCCTTAGGTCACTGCCCAGTGGCCCCAGGGGCCCGACTGGCCTTGTTGACCCGGTCAACGGCCGACTAGGCATTACACAGTCACTGCCTGTGGGCCCTGCGTGGGCCCTGTTGACCAGCCAACTGGTCTGTTGACCGCTGACGCGGGGCTGACGCCAGGATGATGCCATAATTCATTTTCTGACGAATTTAGTAATTAAAACAAATTCAGAATATTGCTAAACCTTTGAAAAATCGTAGAAAATAATCCATAACTCGGATGAAAAAGTTTTTTACATGAAAGTTGCTTAGAACGACGAGACGGATCGGAATACGCTCTCTGTTTGTCTGTCACATGCACCTAGCATAGCAAACATCAAATGTTCCCCTCCGGTTCGCCTGTCCGAAAATGCCTAACTCCGGGAAAACTTTTCGGATGTTATCCCCCTTCGCCGGTATCGCATAGTACTGCGTTAGAACACCCCTAGCACCGCCTTTTGTCTTGCCATGCATGTGTTTGCTCTGTATTTACTGTTTCTTTCCCCTCTTCTCTCCGGTAGACCCCGAGACCCCTGCTGATGCCCCTGTGATCGACTACGTCGACGATGACACTTCTTCCTTTCAGCAGAGCTTCCAGGCAAGCAAACCCTCCTTGAGCATTCCGATATCGCCCATTTCTTCCCTCGCATGCTTGCATTAGAACTGCTACTGCTTTCTGTATGATCCTGCTCTGATGCATAGCCTGTTTATGTTACCTGCTTTCATACCTTACCTGCTTATCCTAAACTGCTTAGTATAGGTTGGTTAGAGATCCATCAGTGACCCCACCTTGTCCCAGTTGCCTCGCTTTATGTTTGATGACGCGATCAACGTGATCGATGTCCAGGCCCCGACACCGCACATCACCCCCCTTAGTTGTACGACTCTGCAGAGTTACCATCTAGTGCCGATGGTGGAACCTCTTACATCACTCCTGATGAGATCTATGTAGTGTAGCTATACGGTCGTGGTCATCGAGGGTGATTTCCTCCTTAACCACTTCTGATACGGCTCACCTTGATGATTACATCGAGTGGAATTCACCGGGGGTGATTCCTCAGGTTTTCCCCTTCGTGTTAGACACACAGTTACTATGGTTACTATGACTTTACACTGAACCATGCTACTAAAGACGGTTCGGCCCTGAGGGGTACACGCGCGAGCTTATTAGCGAGTGATGTGGAGTCAGGTTGACCTGGAAGGTGCCCACGAGATACTTACGAGGCGTGGCCGGGCATTCTTAGCCCTTGCCGCAAGTACTCAAGACGGGGTGACGAGGTCACATCTTTCGTGAGTCTCTGCTCGTGACCGCACTGCCAACGCACTAACGGTTTGGATATTTGATCCGAGGGGCCTCTGGCCTGATAGAACTAACCATCACGTGGGCATTGTATGGGCGTTCTGCGTCGTATGCTTCAGCCGAAGCTTAATAGACGTCATGCGATTGAGCGTCGCGTGCCGGGTTGGACTGGTAAGCTCCTGCCTTTTTAAGGAGGTAGCTAGGTCTGCTCACCGGCCGCCCACGCAATGTGCAGGAGTTCCCGGTGCGATGGCCCAAGACCTCTGGGGGCATAGGTTAGTCCGGCGTGCTGGACCTCTCTATTAAGCCTAGGTCGGGTTGTGGCGTATTGTTTGGCCGAGGTCGGGCATGACCCAGGAAA